ATCCAAACATCAAGAAGAGAGGTGAAAATACCATGTGCAGCGAAGTGTTATTGGCGAAATTCAAGGTTTTTGGATAGCCGATGAAACACTGTCTTGAGTGCTTGTTATATCTTTTCAATCCAAACACAAACTCAGGCGTAAACGGAGAACCGAAATTGTCAAAATCTATGACAATAAGACAGGGTATCCAAACCTCCTTCACAGTTGTGATTTTCTTTGTTTAACTTGATGAATTATTACTGAGTTTGAGAAAGAATATTCAATTATCACTTGTACTGTAACCTTATTCCTTAACTGCTTGATTATTCCTTAATTGCTTTCATATGATTACCCATATTAATCTGTTAATTTGCACTGAAGTGCAAATTAAAAATTAAAGATAAATTGGCCTGCTTTAAGCTGATCACAAATATTACAAACTTTCTCAATAATACTGTATAACAAGATAATAATCCATAATTGGTGCAAAGAAAAAATCACTGCAATGGTTCAGTCCTTGTTTCATAGATGTACAATGCATGCAGACCCCTAGCAAGACAATCTAGCTAGAATCATGGGCCTTAACAATGTGTGCAGATGGATAGATAAATTACCCAGTATTATAGGTCTGTAAAACTCCTCCAGGACTAAGAAATCTACCATCATAGCTCCATGCAGATAGCTAGACAGTCTAGAATCATAGGTCTGCGATGTGGCAATGCGTGCAAACAGGTAGAGTATCCACCAACACAGGTAGAGGACAAAATAATCTAAAATCATAGGTAAGCAAAAGCAAAGCGTGGAGAGGGCTAGTTATATATTCACCTAAATTATTCGAGTTGTTCCCATTGCTGGACAAGTCCTTTCTGTCCAATGGAGGACTTTCCCCACTGTTGGATTCAGCATAAGCTGGTGAAGATTTGGCCATGGCAGAAGGATTGTGACCAGTATTATCTTGCTGAATGTTTGATTCCTCTGGTTTATCTGGCTCTTGATCTTCCTACACAAAGAAACTTAAATGTTATGTCTACTTGTCTAAAACTATCTGTTTTCTTATTTTTGCTTTTGCTCAATGCATTATCCCATCCTTCGTACCCAACTTTTTTTTTTCCTAGTGATTGCAATGAATTTAAAAAAAAACCTACATAAACACCTTGAGCAAGAGGTCAATGTTATTGTTGCAACATAAAGGGCTGTAGACAATGCTGCAATATTTTTGAGGCAAACATTTTTGTCATACTTGTACAGTTTTTATAAATTGACGAAGGTCAGCCTACAATTAGAGACATATATATCTTGGTTCGTGATAAGACAAAATTTCAAATATGTCTAGTTCAACTTGGCATCTAACTACATGATCATAAAAAATAATGTCTTTTGCCAGGTGACAATGGATACCAGTCCAGTATTTTCCTGGTGGAGTAGAGTAATTTCATCAGGAGTTTAAATTCAGGGGTCTTGTGTAATTTAGGAATGTAAAAAAATGTAAAGTCTGCATATGAGCCAAGTGGTCCAGCAGGCCCAAGCTTATCCCGGTTTCTATAGCATGAAGAGACTAGGAGTATTTCTACTCCCTCCTGGATGGGATGCTAATCCATTGCATGTTTACCCCCAGCAGTAAGTTTGGCAGTACCCATTTATACACCTGGGTGGAGAGAGGCAATGTGAGAGTAAGTGTCTTGCCCAGGAACAAAATGCAATGTCCCTGGCCAGGGCTGGAACCTGGACAACTCGATCAAAGATGAGCACGCTATCCAGGAGGACAGTGCATCCCCCACAATTTAGGAATGTGTTAGACAATTTTTATTTGCAAGGTTGTAGTCTTTGAAGGTTTTAATGTTTATTTTTTAGCCAGCAGGACACTGTTGATAACAGTGCTGTTGTACTGAAGGATAAATATTTTATTACTGTTAGTAATAAATTTATATCGCCTAAAAAATGAGAAACAAAGCCAGGAACAAAGCAAAAGTCATGAATGAGTGAACTAACTCTCAGCTTGATAAAGGTCAGCAATTTATACTTCATGCAAGACTACATAAAAATTCTTTTCTCACTGTGGCAACCCAAATCTCAAGATTAACCTCTGTCATGGTCTTCAGTTATGCACATCTCTAAAGATATATCATGATGTTAGCATTGAATAAATGCTTCATGTGCATCTATTAAAATCCCAAATAGTAGGTCCCTCCCTCTTTTTTCATTTTGGAAGGTTCTGAAAATGCTCTATGCCTCCTACTACATTCTCCATCTACATCTAATTCAAATTTTTGGAAGAGTGTTGATTGAAAAGCTGGCAGGTTTGAATTGTAAGTGCATGGAGGTTTGCTCTTTTAAAGCATGGTCTTATGTTTGACCCCGGGTGTTTGACTTTCTTTCATCTATAGGCAAAAGAAACGATCATAATTTAACTTGGATGCAATGAGAAACTATCATTTATCAATATCTTCTTCTGACCACGACTTGCACTGATTTTACCCAGTTGATCCAGCTTTGGTTACAGTTATTCAATGAATACATCTTGTGCATAGTGTTATATTGCTCTGGTAATTGTGTTGTTAGTCTGTTTTAGCAGAACGCCAAACGAAAAGCTCCACATGAAGATATATGATGCACGTAATTGGTAGTTAAAAAAACTTTTTCTCAGTTAAGCCGACAATTTCTATAGCAATAGGTTACACATGTGCTTTCAAGTTATATATCAAAACGCAGCTTCCTAGCGAGACCTAAGGACACAAAGAAAGGTAACAAAGTGAAAATGTTTATTCTTATCTTTAGTTTGTGATCACGCTGAATTTTAATGTAATGAAAGTGGCCTATTGTCTGGCTAAAGGCAAACAATGGATTTCAAAAACGTTTTACTTACCACATTCCCGGGTAGTATTCAAAGTTATCAGGCATTGAGTCAAATAGAAGTCACAAAAAACTAAAACAAAACAAGCCTGAACTCGCTTAGAATATTACATGATATTAAGCTTAATATTTCGTTTCACAGCTTGACACGCAAGCTTACAATAAATTTGTCATTTAGCTAGACAATTTGGTATCGGGGTATCTCTTAAGTATTTCTGAATTTTGAATTACAAAAGGTTTGAATGTTATTTTGTGAATTACTGACCTGTTCTGCCGAGTTTTGTCCTGTTTGGTCGGATGTCTGATCCTCCATTTCACCCGCCACAATATCATCCTCTCTTGCCGCCATGATTGTTCAGCTGATCAGTAGAATCGGAAGTCGATTCATAACAAACCCAGTCCCTCGCCAACGTTTTTACCGTCACGTATGTGTCACGGTGTCATGCTCCGTTGATCTGGTAACGGTATCTCCACACCACGGCAGCCGCCAGTGCATTATTCGGGGCAACTTTCATCGCTTCGATTTTTGCGGCGTTTACTTCTTTCCGCCCAACTAACTGCCCCTGAGTCTCTGAGGCGTGGTTCTTCTTTGTAAATCGGCACGGCCTACCCACGTCAGATCATTTCCTGCCAGGAGCATGTATGTGATATGCTCCTGTTTCTGCTCGTGTCTTATTTTTGTCGTTTTGTGAGCGAGTGAACCGAGACCTCTCCGCGTGCCCACCGTGAGTGAATATCAGGCCTTTGTTAGGGCCTGTTTACAAGGAGGTAGGGTTACCCTAGCAAGTACCCTAGCACTCACACATTTCCTCCTTTTTTCTTCGTCGTGTTTACGAGGCAGCTAGGGTTACCCGGGTAGGCGGGTTACCCTATCTGCGTGCTAGGTTTACCCTGGCAGGCGGGTTAACTTTTTCCCTTGTAAACACTCCAGGTAGGGTTAACCCGCCCACCCGGGCTAACTTTCTAATTGTTTCCAGACCCTTTGAGTGTAACCGCGCAATTTAAAGTTGTCCCAGGTTCAACTTTGCCCTCCAGCTAGGGTTAGCCCGCTTGCTAGGGTAGCCCCACCTCCTTGTAAACAGGCCCTTGGAAGGATTTTGGGTGACTTTCATTACGCGAATTTTTATTCCACATAATGTAAAGATGTGTACGCTCTAGAGAAAAAAAATCTAGTAAAAGTAAATCACGAAACAAAATACATTTGGATAAAGCAAGGAAAAATTATAACAAAAAAAAAAAAAAACGGAAAAAGGAAAACTGTTATTAGATTATTTCCCTGAGTTTTAAGGAACAGAACAATAGAAATTTATTACACACGTTTGGACTCGAGCTTTTGAAACTCGAATAATCGATGCAAGAAGTAGTGTAACTAACGCACATAGCGTGGGGAATGTCACGTTCTATAATACGAAGTCTGTTTTTGAAGCAAAGAGCAGTTTGTTTTAATAAAAATGAGTTAATAATTAACTTGTGCGACCCGATTCTAAGCTTGGTAAGGCTTCTTGTTTCCTTCTGGGAGACTAAACCCAGATCGCGTACCGCGCTTTGGTAAAATTCACGGAATGCGATACATTCACTGTCAGCTTGGTTCACGAGTATGCAAAAACTTGAAGTCCTATATGGATGTCACGCGAGGTCTATAAAGTTCTTGTCGAAATAACGCTTACAAGGTAAAAATAATGACTCGCCATCCATCATCATCAGTTAGCCAAACTTTCGCGACCAAAGTTCAACATAGTTGATATCGTTTTATTGAATTCTAAAAATGTTTTCAAAAAGTTTGGACGAAATTTCAAACCAAGAGCTCCTTGGACAAAGGATTAGATCTCACGCCACGTTACATCCTACGATCAGTCCTTAGCTCAACCCAGTGGCTTATTATCGGATGCCCATATTAGTAAGTATGATAACCACAAGCCAACGGCACCGTCCAACGTCTACACAACGGTACACACTTTAGCTAGGGGAGGGGACGGAGAGGTTAACTAGCCCCTAATAATTTTGATGGGCTTGAAATTATGCGAAGCCAGCTTTTTGAACTTTTCACAGAATACGACAATGGACATGCCCAAAATGTTGTCTTTTCACACGAAGGTAACTCAAACAGTCAGTTGGGAAAAGATCTGTTGCCTTTATGTAGCTTTTGCTCACTCATTTAAAGTATCCACGACTCTCCATTCCGGTTGCTTTTTATTTTTACAGCTTAATATATTATTTGTTAGTTTACATTTGTCCCAAGTGAAGGGTTTAGGGTTATACATTATATATGCATTGCAGCAATGCCCTTTTCATAAATGTTATTTCGTTGTTTATCCTTATTTCTATGAGACTTACATCAACCATTCGTAATCTTTGACGCTACAAATCTCAATACAAATGCTTTTATGTTAAATAGCATATCGAACAATGGGGTCTTACAGACAGAAATCTATTATCTATACAAATCCCATACATTGCTAACATAAACAGTAACTTTCAAGAAAGCCAAAATGCCCACTCCTATACCTTTATGAGCCTTTTGGTTTAGCAGGCCGATAAGCTGACCCCTCCAGACTCCACCCCTTCTCAACCCGACAAAATTGCGTTGCTACGGCCCTGATCTATTCGCTGGTTTTGAAGAACTATTTCCAATGAGTTTCATACAAATCTTGCAAGTTAAAGAATCATTCTTTTTTTATGCTACATTTACGTTCATTACTTGCAAAAAGGTTGGGACGATTTTAATTTCGCACAAAAAGGTGTCCGAAAATAAAACCGTCCGAAATTTTTTTAGCGTCCCAAATATTTACAGTACAGTATAAGATGTTTACATAGTTCCTAAAAGGCTAGTTTCCTTTATGGAGCGAATTCTACTTGACACTGCTTGAGATACGTAACAGCTTGATAGAATTTCTCTTACCCTGAGGGTGCAGTAAAACTATCATTTTCACAGATGTTGTTCCCGTCTAAAACGTGTTTTTAGGAGTAAATTTACGTTGGCTATGTTACCGAATTGTCCGAAATTTTTGTCCGAAATTTGTCCAAAGTGAGATAAAAGTGTCCTAAAATAAAACGTCCGAAATAAAACGTCCCAAATGCGAGCGTCCGAAATTGTTTGCAAGTAATGTATTTGGAGATGGGGGTAGCTTGATTGGACAATTACAACGTTAAATACCTACCCTACGCTGGAACACCCAACACCCGCTATTCTAGAACCCCTTGACTAGAACTGAAGGATACTGAAGGATACTGAGTACTGGATGAATCATACCTAACGTTGGCAATCGTGAAACCATACCTTGATTAGGACGGGTTCAGGCAATGTTTAGGACAAACGCACATCAAATTGTATTCCCAGTTCAGGGCAGCGAAGCCAGACCATTACGTCCCTGTGTAGTCCAGATAAGGCATTCCTCGGGTGTTCTACATTTCTAGCTCACAGATTAGACTGCCGGCAGCCGGTTTGTTCTCTTAGGGCCATTTAGGTGAGTGTTTAGCCAACGCGAACGCAAAAGGGCGGTATGGTGTGCGTGCCACGCCCAAGTCTCGTCCCATTCCCCTTTAGGCAATAGCGTCTCGCCTCATGACCCCTGCTGAATTTCGACTGCCAGCAGTCTACTCACAGATTTTCTCGGAAAACTGCTCGCATATTTCCGCGCTAAACAGAGCCTATTATCTTTTTAAGCAATATTGAACTTCCTGCTTTCTTGGTCTACGGACGTGTCGAATGTTTAGATAGCTTCACAAGATGGACTCAAGAGTTATGAATCCATATCTCTGCGGTGCTGTGGATAAGCCAACATCTTTTCCTTGCAGTTTTGAGTTCACGAGATATTCTTTGCCCATTTTCTCCTGACACCATGTAAGCACCTTGTCAATATTCGGCGTCTGAACTCCGACAATTTCTGCAATACCCCGGATGACGACCAGGCCATATGGGACATCCTCCGTGATGTAGCGGTGCGTGAAATCTGGCAAGAATTTGCCGTCTTCAGTTGTCTTGACTGGATGCTTGATTCCTTGAAAGGCAGCATTGGTCTGTATTGCCTTGTAAAGGGTCGACTTATTTGAGATGTCATGAGAATAACGTCGCACAAGCCATAGATGAATGTGTACAACCTGTAGAGAGTTAATGTCAGAAAAAAAGCATAACCAGAACCTGTGTTCACCTCTTTACTTAATTGATCTTTCATGGCATAAGTATATTTAACTTCTCTTAGTGTGGTTGTGTGTGTGCTTCTTTTCGCCTTTTTTGTCTTTCTTTGCTTTTGCGCTTCTGCGCGTTTAGCTTTGCTTAATTATTTTTTTATCTAAATTTATGATCATTTTGTGTTCCGATGATAGCATTTTTATTGTTTAGTGAAGTCTTAGGTATCTTCAAGGTAATCCTTACGTAAGCCTTAGTGGCTTCCCTGGGCTTCCTTACTTGGAGACTGAGTAGATTGATATTTTGTAATTATATTTACAAATGGCAAAAATTAAGCAAACAAGATTACGTACTAAAATACGTGTCGTTACCAGGCTATTCACGATCTTTTAGAGGCATCATGTCACGGTGTTTCGCTTGCGAGTTTTAGACTGATAAGGGACCTAAACAATACCTCCCTACCCTGTCGAGGTATCAATAACGACTGAAAAATCTTTGAATTAAAGAAAAGCTGTGAAGCCTTCCAGTGGAGCAAATACTGGTTAGTTCGCCGTGCCACAGATAGGCGCACTGATGGATGCCACATAGGCCTCTGCAGCCATAACTCACCAGTTTGTAACTGCTGATAGGGACAACTACTCTTAAGACGTAAAGGAACAAAGGTAGGCCCTAAGCCTCTCGACCGAAAATTTAGTCTGCTTCCTGTATCAAACCGGTTGGATGATAGCTCACGACAGTGAACAACATGATTACGTCGGTAGTTACTTATAAACACATCTGTCTGCTTGTCTGTCTGTCTGCTCGTCTTTTCTATCTGGTCGTCTTTCTTGTCTCCTGCCAGGCCTGCCTTGATTATTTTTTCTATCAGCTAAGCCGGTTGTACAGAAGAAATTTAACTAAATTACTTTCCCTCCCTTCCAAACATTAAAACGTTCTTTTGGTTATATGTACCTGTCATAACCACTCCAAATGATGAAACGTAACATTAGAACAAAAAGATGAGTTTTTGTAAATAAATTCATAGAAATATCTTACATGAGACAAGTCAGCTTCAGTCTTCAACTCAATGACCCTGGCGATGCTTACAATCTCATCTGATATACTGGACAGCAGGTCCGCTGTTGGCTCAGTTAGGCCATTGTAGAACAGAGGTGGTTCATCAACTGGTTTCCCCTGCCACCCCTCCCATTGACCATATAGTATTGACGTGTGCAGGTACGCATTGACGCTCATCAACTGAACGCCCAATAGGTGACCAGAGACGTTAAGTTTAGGGAGGGGACCCAGGAGATATTGTAGTGTGGAAGCTGGGTCTTTCTTGGGAGCAACACCTTTTCCTTGCTGTGAAAAAAGTACAAACAGAAACAAAATTACAAAGAACAACAAACAAAGTGGACGATCTCGCGAAGCAAAGAGAGGAAGATGATCACACTTTTCTGGGGCAAAGCTGTTTACCAGTCGTGTAAAGTGATTCAACGTCATACCAGTGATATCAGTACAGTATAATGGTTCACGGATAACTGAAAATATGACATTGTGAATGTAATGTTTCCCTCACTCGACTGAATCATTTGCGGTCAAAAAATTGAGTATATGTAAACATTACGAAAACATTTGCAATTGCAATTTCGTTAACATGGTCATATTGGCTAAAAAAATGAAAAGAAAAAAGTTGAGTAAGATTCAAAAAGGGAGTAAATAGCTAATTTTTGCCTGCGCGTGTTGGTTCAAAACGATTGTGGTGAAACAATATCACTTTGATTATGGAAAATACAGCCAATCTATATAATCGAAAGGTGTTATTGGTTTTGTATCTGAAGGTATAAAAGAGGCTATGTTTTCAATCTGTTGTCTGCACCGCAAACTTTCTGCAGTCTGTAATGATTACAACCCAACAAATATCACGGGTACGTATTTGAAGTGAGAGTCTGTTACCTTGATGGCTCCCAATAGGGTCTCCTTGGTGCCAAGAACCTCACACCCAACACTGAAGTCAGAGATACAGGAGACCCAGGGTGATGATTCAAAATTCATGATCGTGCATTGCTGTCCTACTTCACCCAGTACGTGAAGTACCTGGTACTCAAACCCTGGAGTACCTGGTAGGCCGACTATTATTGTGCCAGGTTTGAAGTAAGGTTTCAAGGTATACAGAAGAACTTGATGGGCAAATGCCGGCAGCACAAAGACCACGATATCAATATCTTGCATGGCATCCTCTGGATTACTCGTTGCTAGCGGAAGTCTAGATGTAATACAAGTTGGTTCTTCTCCCTTTCGATGAAAAGTAACCTTGAGGTCGTTTTTATGCATTGCAGCAAACCAGTAATCTGCTTCATCTTGGTTTAAACTAAAAACTCGAACATCTGTTCCTTTCACAGATGAGGCAATACCGGCAAATGCGTGGGCTTCACTGCCACTTCCACATATCAACAGCTTGATATCTACAAAACTGTCCTATAAATTGAATTTAGGCTTGTATAAATTAACGAAACGTAAATCTTGAAGTTAACTCTTTACTTGTAATCAATTAATCACAATCTCTTAGCACTTAGCTAAGCATCAACATCATGTATCGCGAAAGCCCTATTTAGCTCATGTACCTTTCTAATAAGCTCTCTTAAACGTTAGATTTTTAATTAAGCCCCACCCTCCGAGTGAAGGTGCCAAGATACATTATAATACTCCTATGCATATCTTTGCATTGTTTATACTGAATCATTTCAAGACAAAAAAATGTATGAGAAATGTCAACTCATAAAAAGATTTCTCTTATTAATTAGACATTAAACGATTATTAATTGAGACATACAAACATCTTTGCTCCTAAGGCTGCAATCCCTCCAGTAATCCCACCAATGGCAGCATTGCCGGCAGCCATTGCAAACAAACCTCCAGTCTTTACAGTTGCCGCTGCAATGGAACCAGCAGCAACACCTGCACCAGCAAAACCAGCAGCACCAAGAACCAGTGGAGCAGCAACCACAGCGGCAGTACCAGCTGCTACTCCGACAGCTGCATAGCGCAAGAGGTCTGAAAAATACAAGAGAAAGTTTAAGGGCGGTTCAACAGTGTACGCTGCTCTATACAAATTGTAGGTCAACCTAGAGAAGTGTAATAGCCGAGGGCGGGTACTCAGGTTTAATGATGAGAGGCGGTAGTGCTTAGGCCTCATTGTGTTTGAAATTTGCAATCTAAAGGGTGTTGGTGGACACAATTTTTGTGCTTACTGCCTTAGGCCAGTCACTGTACTATGTGACTTTTCGGAGGCTTTCGGAGCAATCTCACGAAATGAGGCCGAAAACACCTCGAGATTTACTAGCTTTTACTCCAGTTCACCTCCAGATTTACTCGGGTTCTTTCACGCCAGTTCTATGAGAATGACTGCTTTTTACAGTTTATAAATGATACCGTTTCGTTGAATGCCACATTTCGAGTTAACAAAAATTCGAGTTATAGCACAAACATGGCGCTACAGCAGCGCTACGAATGTTAGTGATCTCTAACACAGAAACTGCTGGCCGCTACTTAGTCAAAACATGGGACATTGCAGACTCGTTTTCCCCAAACCGGCTTTGGCTGAGATTCGATTTGGATATCTTGGTGAGTAGACAATGTTTTCAACCTTTTTTTTTCTCATTTAACCAGACACAGTTTCCACCGAATGTGTCAAAATGTTGTCTCGAAAGGTTTTAATTGGAAAGACTAATGTTAAATCAAGATGTTTGTCCGACAACAATCATCGAGCAGCCATTGTTCCTAGAACGTCTGTCGTGTGATATTTGACATACTGTGCTATACCACTGGCGATTCAGAAAACTGTTGATGATAACCGACTGGTGACAGACAGCTTTTCGGAAGAGTGCAATGACATGTTTATCATTTCGTTTTGACCTGACACCCGCGAGCGAAAAGTAGCTATTTATCCCCTTTATGAATCTTACACAACTTTTTTCTTTTCATTCGCCTAAATAAGGACGAAACCAAAATGACCATTTTAGTTTGCATTTTTTAGTTGCAAATGTTTTCGTAATGTTTACTTACACTCAATTTTTTGACAGCAAATGACTCAGTCGACTGAGAGAAATAATGTGTTTACATTGCCATATTTTTAGTTTCTACACGAACCGTTATACTCATTCCAATGATTTGACGCTGAATCTACTTTGACAGGGGTGCTCGTCGTACCTTCTAGGGGTTAAAAAAGCGGTTTTGTTACCTCTTAGGGTATTTAGCCTCAAAAGGTTCACAGCAGGAGCTTTTGCTGTACCTTTTAGGGTATTGAGCAGAAAAAATATGACAGGAGATCTATATTGTGCTATGTAAGAAATGGTACCTCTTAGGGAAAAAAAAAAATTAAGCCACGCCAACAAACAGGATCTGGGTACCTTTAAGGGGTTCTTTTCAAAATTTCCGACAAGCACCCCCGTCCTTTTTATTTTGGAGTCCCCCCCCCCGGGCCTTTTGCTTGATGTTTGCCATCCGTTCAAGATCAATAGGAGGCCCTTCAAAAAGCTGAGGTTCAGCCGTATCAGGACAAGCATGTATTTAAACCGAAATTTAATGTAGAGTGTACACGTAAATATGCTTATGGCACCTGGCTCGCAAATATTTTCCAAAATTTAATTATCCTATATATACCTGCCCACTTTGGTGAGTCCCATGCCTGCAGGTCAAAAACTTTGATCTCATACCTTAACTCACGTTTATGAATTAAAATTGCACACCTAGCTGAAAGAGCTTTCACTTACACATTTTCAAAAAATATCTGTGAACCCAAACAAATGGAAGAAAGGTAAAGTCTATGTAAATGATAGAACACATCCTCAATTTTACAATTTTCAAGAGAACAATCTGGCTGTGTTAATATGTTTAGCAAAACATTGGAAGCTGTGCCTGGAACCAGGAAATATATATGAAACCCCTTTGGAAATCTTTGGAACATCCTCTGAGATCTTCAGAGGTCTTTTGGATATGATCAGATCTTCAAAATCTAGCTACAGTAGAACTTCCAGAAAACAGATCTCATGCCTGCGACTCGGAAAAGGTTGGAAGGTATATGTTGTTCTAAGCTTTTTAAGTAAATGAATGAATAACAATTTGATGTTAAGGAAAATTAAGCTTGACCTAATTATGACAATGGAATCACTGGAAATGGGCAGAGTTTGAAAATAACTTTCTTTCTTACAACTGAGAACCTGAAAACTGATTATTGCATTTAATTCTAATAGCAAACAGATTAAATGACATACAGTTGGTTACCTTCTGATCCTCACAGAAAGGACAAACCATTGAAATAGAATTGATGAGATAAAAGAGCAAAATAAAAACAAGAGAAAAATCTGAAATATATTTGTCCAAAAGTTTGGTTTTCAAGCAAATCTTCTTGCTAACAATCTGAAACAATCTCCGTGGAACTGTTTGCCAAGTAGAATTTTTTCCACTACCTTAAAATTTCCAACGATCAAGGAATGACAAAAGATCTGGAACTTAACAGTGGCCTCTTGCCTTAGACTCACAATGTATGCAAACAGTGCACCGGCAACAACATTATAGACCTGCAATGCGTACAAAGAGCTAGATAATGAATGAGTTGCCAGTAATCTGATACCCGTATTTGCGCAAAGAACTCTGGGATCGTCAGGGGGCAAACATTGCAAGTGGCTAGAAGGATATGTATAGCGAAAAGTTGTTTCGACGCCCAAAAACATGGTTTTGGGGACAGATCAACGCTT